ATATGTTATTTGAATAGACATAACCAAGGTATACGAACTCAATGACATCAACAAATACAACTGTGCGTGCATGATGCAAGTGTGAATGAATAAATGAATGTCATGTATATGCTGACAAAACAGACAGGGGAGATGGACAGAAAATGATAAGACATCACAGTACAATTCGACACTCGGCTAATCTCAACAGGATGGTAACATTACTGGAGATAGAAACTAAAGCCATCCTTGGAGCAAAGTCCTTTTACAAGGCTTAAATATCTATGGAGGGAAAGATATTTTCAGGTAGAAAACCCAAAGTCCAGTCTTCTATTGCAAATAATCCATTGAAAGGATAACAACACGAACAAAGTTTCAGCTGGAAAGAAGTCTTGCTTAGCTGGAGATACTGGGAACACCACCCTCTGATAATGTGTGCAATACATATCACATATCTTGACAAATCTGGATTTCCACTGGGACTAATTTTGGATGCCCCAAGTTTACTGTTGATAAGCTGGGTGATGCACGACAATTCTTGCGAATAACTTCACTTCTAAAATGCCCCAAGCTATATGGTTGATGAGGAGAAATCGTCTCAAGAGGATTTTACAAAAGACTTGGCATCCATCGTGCTCTGGTGTCTTCAAACTCTTAGAGAGATTCATCAAATCTCGACGTGATTGCCCCGGATTAACTGTAGTTGGCACAACAAAGTCTTCAAATTTTGCCCCAATAAAGAGTAAAGAAGTTGGGGAAAGCATTAACTAGGAGAAGCAACATGTCCGTGCTTAAGGTCTTCAGGTGACATGCCCCTGCATATGATTTTTCTTGAAATGATCCGCCAATTACTCAACAGAGCTTCAGGCCTTAAGAATAGACTCATCACTGGTGCTTATATCTGAGCTTCCTTGATATCAAACAAATGTTTTGCAGTTAGAAAAAGTTTATTATGAGAATGAAAATTCTAATGCAACAGTTATGTAAGTCTTGAAGATTTTGAAAAGATATCGCACAAATTTTGCGAGTTAGAGCATCATTTATTTTTGTATAGGAAAAACATATGATACCAACATAACTATTTAGAACATTCATGGGAGTCAGGAACACTATCTCATTGAAGTATGCTTTCAAAATAACCTTGCTTCAATTAGGACTTTTGAAGGTTGTAACGTGGTCTGGTTCATGGTTTTTAGAAAAAAGATTTTAAGGCTCAAAATATTTGGTGCCCACCCATTCTTCATGATGTTCTCCAACCCTATGTTCAGTTAATTCAACATGAGTGTTCATCTCTCAAAAGGATTTTGTGACGGTTAAGGAAACGACGAGGCTTTCGGAGTAGAAACCACCCTCATGTCTTCGTGTTTGTAGTCACCAATTTGCTCTTTGCTGAGGACTTTTCTTTGTAGTCCTTTCTTTGCAATTTTTATTTTCCCTAATTTTTGCCTGAACTAATTTTTTGAATTGATAGTCCAGCGGGATGCCTTAATTTTGCCTAAGTCACACGTTTTCATGTTTTTTTTTTACTTAGCAGGCTTTTCTTTTTCTTGAATTTTTGAACAAAATGTGTGACATTAGCTTGTCTTTGCTTGTTGAGAGGATTGTGATTGCCTCGTTTCTTGATGAATGAGGGATAACATTGTGGTTCCACATCCTCTAGATTCATTATACATGAAGGATAGCCCTCGTAGTTTCTCTTCAAAAAACATCTTCCTTATGAATTTTGAACACTCAGTCAGATTAACTAAAAACTACCTTGCCCCAGGTTAAAATTCAAGGTTTTTTTCGTATAGAAAAGGAACTTCTGCTTCAAAGGCTCAAAAGGGGTTAGCAAGGGATTATCTTCCTTATATCTCTGGTGTTTAGGAATTTGAAACAATGCCTGTGCATCATCAGCAAGATTTTATCCAAAAGCAAACAACCAGAGATTTTGTGTTCTTTAGATCATCATCCTCCCTTCAATCTATGCCTAGGCAAGAGAATGGGCAACAAGTTGGTATCATAATGCCAAAAGAAATTTAAAATTTGAAAACAAATATGAGTGAAACGAATGAATTTCTTCAAGACAAACATACTCGTTGTATTAAGATAATCATTCAGATGCAAACAAGTTCTTACATGCAAACAATGTTTTGATAAACAAGAAAAATTACAAAAAGCATGAATAAGTTAATAATCTGGGAAGGCTTTCCATCTGGACTTGAATTACCGAAAACATCCTTCAAAAATCAAAGTCACCATCAATCGTGTTTACTCTTCGGCGCATGCTTGATTTGAACTTCAAAACCAACGTCCTTGAATGACAAGATACCACTTCTGACCAACTTCTGAACCTCAATCTTCAAAGCAAAGCAACCCTCCAAGTCATGCCCAAGAGCACCTTGATGAAAGGTACAAGCCAAATCAGCTTTGTAGTACCAATGTATCTTCTCAGGAACCTTCGGTGGAGGTCGGGTCTGAACCAAATTCCTATGCATCAGGATAGGGAACAACTCTGTATAGGTAATTGGAATTGGATCAAACTGGGTTTTCCTCTGATTAGGAACTCGCTGATTTTGTTGATGAATAGGAGGAACATGATGATTTTGACGATGAATATTTCTTCCTATGGTTCTCTTATTGGAAAAGTTATTATCAAACTTCTTCACACCATTAGCTGAGCTACCATCTTCATATGAACATCCCTTCCCAACATCTTCTTCTAGACGCACTCCCACATTCACCTTGTCAGGAAAGTCATTAGGTGCATTAACCATCACCTTCTCATGAGAGAATGATTTTAGAGTTTCAGTGAATACTTTTATCATCGCTTCCTCCCTCCTAGAAGGATTGACTTGGGCGGCAACCAGAATTTCAACCAAACCAGTTAAGTGCTCCATACTAGCTTTCAAAATAGTCATCTCTCTACGGAGTTCATAAACCTCTTGCTTGATATTCTCCATTGTCCTCTTAGCGCGAGTGTTGTACTAGTGAGACCAAAGGAAAAAAAAATAAGACTTGGAAATGACCTTTGAAAGTGAAACAAAAATATAGAGTGATGCATGATATGTGAATGTAAAAGAGAGTTTTATTTGATCTTCAAGGTATTAAGTTGTAAACATCAAGGTATGAAGATAGAAGATGAATTTTAAATTGGTTCCAAATGTTGATCAAGTTATCATCAAGATCAATCATCCATTTTGGTGGATTAGGGTTTTCGCCCTATCAACACCCAAGATCCATTGAGTTTGACAAGACTTGTGGTATTTACAAATAAAGACTTCCAAATTCCTTCAAAGTCAAGTGAAAAGGGTTTTATGGATGCATGAATGAATGGCTATGCAACAACCACAAGCAAGGTCACAAATAGAGTCGAAAGGTTCAACGTCACGAGCATGGAGTCAAGGTAAGGAACACCCCCAAGGTATGTACTAACGGTTTAATCACACCTGTAGAACAAGGTTCTAAGAGTTCCCGGAGTCTACATTCCTCCTTCGGATATTACCAACGTCTGGATTACTCAATAATCAGCAATATTCTCAAGAGAAACTCATCCGAGCGTAGCATCGCGTAACAATTACTTCCGGATTACTCTGTTATAATCTCCGCGCTACACCTAAAAGGCCAAGATGGGTTAGGGTTATACGGTTCCCGGCTTCTCTGGCTCCCAGGTCGAAAATAATAATGTCTTCCCGATTACTCGGTAAACAAATATTACGTTCAAAAGGGCCTTCCACTGAGTGGGGGATCTCATGCCTCCTTCTTCGGGATTACTCCCTCAAAGTTAACATGACTATACCGCCCGTCCTATTCCTAAGTGTAACTTAGTCCGGGTATAGGACTTGTCCTTTGTAAATATTATCAACACCCAAATAATCATAATATATACATATAATCAAACAATCGAATAATGATAAAACAGATAAAACAAATTAGGCTTAACCCACTTAGGGATGGACCAGCAAGAGGTCAATCTTTCCCCAGCAGAGTCGCCAATTCTGTAGCGGTGAAAATCGGAGATCAAGCTATTAATTAACTTGACTCGCAAAAGCAAGAGTCTCCACCGCGCTTTATTATTTCCAAGGGAAAAGGGGAAAGAGAGAAATAAAACCCTAAAGTATGCAATGTAAAATAATACTTTTAAAAGTAATGAAAATACAAGGCGTTTTTGAAAAGAGGTCTATGGTTCGGGGGTTGGTTATACAATGGGAAGGTATTAGCACCCAATGCATCTGCGGTACTCCGCAGGAACCTTTTGAAATATCTGTTTTTTGGTTAAAATTGTTTGTTTGATTAAGATGGTTTGTTTGGTTAAAGATGGGTATGGACGATATTTTTGAAGATACGACGACCTAGTGTTGAAGTTTTGACTTAAAAGGTGTGAGTTTGAAATTTGAATCTTTTAGGAAAATCGACTTAATTTTGGAAAAAATAGTAAATAGGAAAAAAATGAATGAGGGTGTTCGCTTGATCGTATTAGATATTTGATGACATGAAGTCAAGAAAGTTAAAATATTCTCCTTGGAATTGATGCAATCAGCGAAAAAATAAATCATGAAATTAATTGGAGAATAATTGGCACAAGATCAACCAGCATACATTTAACATTAATCAAAAAGGGAAAATTATAAATAACAATGAGGATTCTAATTTAAAAGGGAAGATAAAACCAAATGTGAAAAGAAAAGATTTGTAACCAAACGAATTGACAGAAATTATTAAACTAAACTAAAACGAATATAAAAGTTCACTAATGATTACCAAATTAATTTTGAAATTAACTAATTAAGAAAAACTATCTAATAATAACAAAAAAACATGCATGATAACTAATTATTTATATGATTTTAAATTAAAAAATGGAAACTAATTAAAATAAATTAAAACTAATCTAATTTAAAAAAGGGTCTAAACAAAATAATGAGGTGAAGTATGAAGCAAATCGAAGTGGGCCTAAAGAAATGAAACAATAAGTCCAAGTTGTAACACAAATAAAGATCAGAAAACAAAAATAATTAAAAAAAATGATGGGCCGGACCGGGTCAGGGTGGTCCGGACCCATCTTCCAAATTCACAAAATTGGGGTTGAAGAAAACCCTACTACTCTTTATCTCAGAACGGCCATAGTTGCAGAAACAAAGCTTCCCTCTGCCACCTTTCTTCTTCCTCCCACAAAACCACCCAAATCCATCCTCCACCATCATAGCCTCAGTCACACGCTTGGCGTGAATTGCACAGAGGTTTGTGTCCTCAAATAGTCCGACGAGGTAAGACTCGGCCTCTTCTTGGAGTGCAGACACGGCGGAGCTCTGGAAATGGAGGTCGGTTTTGAAATCTTGAGCGATCTCACGAACAAGACGCTGGAAGGGAAGCTTGCGAATCAAAAGCTCAGTACTCTTCTGGTACTTGCGGATCTCACGGAGAGCGACGGTTCCTGGCCTGAAACGATGTGGCTTCTTCACTCCTCCGGTGGTCGGAACAGACCTGCGAGCGACTTTGGTTGCCAACTGCTTCCTTGGGACTTTGCCGTCGGTGGACTTGCGTGTTGTTTGCTTGGTACGAGCCATGGTGATTGAATTGATGAGAAATTGATTAGAGAGAAGAACCAGATTTGTGGATTTGTTTTTGTTGTTTTGAGAGTGATAAGGAAAGGGGCCGACTATAACACAAGCAATAATGGCAGCGGATTCTCCTTCCCTCGCGATTGGTATGCATCTTCAAACTCTAACCTCTCATCAACTAATTCCCTCTCTCAGTTCTCTTGCAGTTTAACAAAAATCAACAAAACTCGGTTTCCCTTCCCATCTTATCATTTATGGGAATAACAAAAACCCTCATATGAATCTCTATCTCAAATTCACTTTACTAATTAATTACTTTACTATTCCAAAGTTCTATTCTATTTTCTCATTCAATCAATATGCTTGCAGATTCAGAGAAAACTAAGACGACAAAATCCCTCTACATAGTCTCTCTAATCACTCAGTTCAAAGGTTACCGCGGGTTAGCAATAACGTGTGCACATAAGAAAGGAAAAAATGATATGAAGCCTCCGAGCGATGTCATAACAGCATTCGAATGAGAAATAGCGAGAAAAAAACAAATAACTACAACAATAATTCAAAGATAGAAGGCTGTGAACCTGGGATAATGTTGAAAGCTTCTTTGTCGACTCTACGGCAACAACTTCTACGAATGTCCAATGAGGTGAATTCCCGCCTTTTAGTCTTCTTCAAATTAAACTTCTAGTGTGTAGGCAGTAACTTGAATGAAGTAAAATAAAAGAGGTTTTGTAATATTTTTGTATGAGATGCTTGTGTTTGCAGGGTATTGAAAAAAGAAGTTAGTGATTCATGGTGATGTGAAATGGTTTTGGATAGAGACAGGCTGAAAATTATGAAGTTCTTGCTAGGTGTTTCTTCTTGTCAGATTTTTCTATGTTGCTGGTATATATATATATTTTTTTTGTTTTTGTTAACCAAGTCTAAGTTTATATAGAGAACATAATGAAATTTTGGGGGGAAAATGTTGTGAAAGTTGGTTTTGTTATAACTGTTTTATTACTTTTTTGTGCAGGTTAAAGCTTTCCTTACTTGTGCAAAATTGGGACAGCATAGCAGAACTAGTTTGACTGCTGCAACATAGGTTGATTTTGGACAGAACTTATACAGTTTTGGGACTGTAAGGCAGAGTTTGTAGCAGTGGTTCTGGACAGCAGACAAAAGACAGTTTTGGGGCATTATTTTTGGACTGATGTGCAGCAGTAAAATTATCATTGAAAGGTCCCTTTTCTACTTTGCATTTTTCTGATTTTCCCATGTAACCATACATGTATTTTCCCTCTCTTTTCTTTCAAAATATTGGACTGATTTTGCTTCCATATGTTTTGTTGTTTTAATGGACAGTTTTGGGTGAAAGTTGGAGCAAGGTTTGTGGACAATTCTATGGCATGATTTGGAAGAATGAATCAAGTTAGAAGATTACGATAGGTTTAGAATTTGTTTTCTTGTACAAACACTTGTGTAAAATTGTTGTGGTAACTTGTAATTTTGACTTAGAGCTTGATTAAATGTAATTTGGGAATTTAAACTTGTGCAACTTGCAAATGGATGAGACAAAGGTTATTTGGAACTTTGAAATTATATTTTTGAGATGTCTTGAGAATTGAATTAGTTTGAATAATGGATGATGAATAGTTAGAAAATGATTTGTTTGATATCCGGTTTTGTTATTGCTGCAAAAATCATGAACTTGTCCTATGAATAATCGTGTGATGATATTGATGTGGTCCCACTCTGCAATTTTTTTTCTCTATTTTTGACAAAAACAAACAAATAATAACATAATAGTAACAATAATATAAGAAGAAGAAAAAAGTATTAGTAACAATAAATAAAATAAAATAATAAAATGCAACAATGATAATAACAAAAATAAAAATAATCAGTAACAATAAAAGGTGAAATAATAAAATGCAATAAAGATACTAATAATAATAATAATAATGAGAAAAAGGGAAAATAGTTAGTAATATCTAAAAGAAATAGAAATAGATTAAAATAAGAAGAAAAAAAAATAATAAGACAGATTTTTGAACTAAAACAAATTTATTGGAAATATGATAGAAAATGCAAATGATAAACTATTTTAATTCTTTTTTTTAAATAGAAATTAAAATGATGAATAAAAACAAGAAAGCATGCGAAATGATCGATTTTTCAAATTAACGACAAAATATGCACCAGTCGAAAAAAGTGAAGGGGCGAAAAACGGGGTGCGACAGTTGTGCCTTGATGAATCAGTCTTCGAGAATCCATAATCAAACGTACTTTTGGCTTGGGAGACTCAAAACCTTAATTGAGGCGTGACACTTGATGCTCTTGATCCAGACCTGTCTCTGCACATGACACAAAAGAAAACATGAACATACACCTTTGTATGCGATTAGAAATTAGTGATACATATGCTAAAAATGTTCAAAACACTTGACAATCTTCGCATAGTCAAAGCTCGAAGGTGAGACATTAAAACCGACCGTATTTCGTGACCTTGACTTATCTTAAAAAATGCAAAAAATAAAAATGGGATCTTAGGTCAAAAATTGGGGTACAACAGCTGCCCCTATTTAAGTTTCTTCTATCTGGAGATATGAAGATTGGGATCTTCATTTCGACGAGATTGAAGGGACTTAAATATAGAATACACAATTTTTGGCCTTAAGATACCGCGATTATGTTCATGATATGATATGAATGTAATGCTCTGAATTTTATGGGGAATGACGTCATATGAGACTGACTATGCTGGAGAAACCAAGCACATTATACAGTAATCCCACAGAGGAAGAGGTTGTACCTCCACTGGGGAAACAAAGTCATAGACTTCAAATGAGAGACTCTTGAATGATTTACATCAGTGTTGAGACTGGAAAAGAAATGATTTACATCAGCACTGTGGCTGGAAAATAAAATGATTGACATCAGCACTGTGGCTGGAAAACAAAATGATTGACATCAGCACTGTGGCTGGAGATAAACATCTCTTATTTCTGAATTTTACCAAGAACGGTAACACATTTCTTCTTTAACCAAGATATCGCTTGAAAAGGATAAAATAAAAAACTTCCCCACGGGACTTTTCCGAAGGGGTGCCATTTGCTGAGTAGACATTATTGTAGGGGATACACAAGCTGCTCAAATAAAGAGGCCGCCACTTGCTTCCTTTCAAAGGTGTCAATAACATACAAGCTGCTCATGAAGAGACTACCACTTGCTGTCTTCAAAGAATATTAAAACACACAAGCTGCTGATGAAGAGTCCGCCACTTGTTGCCAAAAACCCACAAGCTGCTCATAAAGAAGCTGCCACTTGTTGTCTTCAAAGAATATCAAAGCACACAAGCTGCTCATGAAGAGTCTGCCACTTGTTGCCAATAACCCACAAGCTGCTCATGAAGAAGCTGCCACTTGTTGTCTTCAAGGGAACAATAACACAAGTTGCTCAAATAGATAGGCTTCCACTTGCTGTCTTCCAAAAAACTAACGTACAAGCTGCTCATGAAGAGACCGCCACTTTCCGTTTTCCGTACAAGCTGCTCATGAAGAGACCGCCACTTGTCGTTTTCCGAAGATAACAATAACACACAAGTTGCTCATGAAGAGACGACCGCTTGCTGGTTTTCAAAGATAACAATGACACACAAGTTGCTCATGAAGAGACCGCCGCTTGCTGTTTTCCAAAAAACTAACGTACAAGCTGCTCATGAAGAGACCGCCACTTTCCGTTTTCCGTACAAGCTGCTCATGAAGAGACCGCCACTTGTCGTTTTCCGAAGATAACAATAACACACAAGTTGCTCATGAAGAGACCGCTGCTTGCTGGTTTTCAAAGATAACAATAACACACAAGTTGCTCAAATAGATAAGCTGCCACTTGCTGTCTTCCAAAAAACTAACGTACAAGCTGCTCATGAGGAGATCGCCACTTTCCGTTTTTCGTACAAGCTGCTCATGAAGAGACCGCCACTTGTCATTTTCCAAAGATAACAATAACACACAAGTTGCTCATGAAGAGACCGCCGCTTGCTGGTTTTCAAAGATAACAATGACACACAAGTTGCTCATGAAGAGACCGCCGCTTGCTGTTTTCCAAAAAACTAACGTACAAGCTGCTCATGAAGAGACCGCCACTTTCCGTTTTTCGTACAAGCTGCTCATGAAGAGACCGCCACTTGTCGTTTTCCAAAGATAACAATAATACACAAGTTGCTCATGAAGAGACCGCCGCTTGCTGGTTTTCAAAGATAACAATAACACACAAGTTGCTCAAATAGATAAGCTGCCACTTGCTGTCTTCCAAAAAACTAACGTACAAGCTGCTCATGAAGAGACCGCCACTTTCCGTTTTCCGTACAAGCTGCTTATGAAGAGACCGCCACTTGTCGTTTTCCGAAGATAACAATAACACACAAGTTGCTCATGAAGAGACCGCCGCTTGCTGGTTTTCAAAGATAACAATGACACATAAGTTGCTCATGAAGAGACCGCCGCTTGCTGTTTTCCAAAAAACTAACGTACAAGCTGCTCATGAAGAGACCGCCACTTTCCGTTTCCGTACAAGCTGCTCATGAAGAGACCGCCACTTGTCGTTTTCCGAAGATAACAATAACACACAAGTTGCTCATGAAGAGACCGCCGCTTGCTGGTTTTCAAAGATAACAATAACACACAAGTTGCTCATGAAGAGACCGCCGCTTGCTGTTTTGAAAGGTGACAGTAACACGCAAGTTGCTCATGAAGAGACCGCCGCTTGCTGTTTTGTTGAAGATACTCATAAAATATCGTGAAGATATTGCTGGAGGTGAGAATCAATAATTTCATTTGGTATGGGCAAGCTTCTCATAAAGAGACCGCCATTTGTCGTAGGGAAATCAGAAATAATCAAACTGCTCAAATAAAGAGTCAGTCGCTTGTTGTCATGTCGATATTCTAGAAGAAGGTTGTGATAACGCTGCTGGGGAATAAAGTTCCTCTTCAATGGGGAACCATGAATAAATCCTTCTTGAGGAG